TTACTACTTTTAGCCAATAATACATTTTATCTATCTACTTATTTATTTTTAAAATCATTTTTTAAATATTTTATTTGTTTTTAGAAAGGAGAAAGGAGGGAGAAAGAGAGGAAGAGAAACATCAATGTGTGGTTGCCTCTCATGTGCCCCCTACTGGTGACCTGGCCCACAACCCGGGCATGTGCCCTGAAAGGGAAGCAACTGGCAACCCTTTGGTTTGCAGGTGGGCACTCCATTCATTGAGCCACACCAGCCAGGGCCAATACTACATTTTAAAATGTTGACAGATGTGGCTTTTGTGCTTTGAAATGCTTTCTTGTAGCCCATAGGTGAAAACCTAAATTTACATGTTGTTAAAATTTAAGGTGTAATTAATCTTTTTACAGAAAAGAAAAGCATTGCTTATATGCTAGTGACATATTTTTTTCAGGGTCATCTGGATAACCATTAGGCAATGGAAGACGTAAATTGCTAATTATTATGTATAAAATTTCTGTCTTCTTTAAAAAATTGTCTTCAAGCTATATATTCTCCTTCCTTTTGATAGCTTTACAAGTTCTTTTCTAGTATTTAAGTAAAATGTTCAAGTTGGCTACAACTTAACAGTATATATTTTATTTGGGTTTTAAAAATACACACATAAATTATTTTTCTCTTATTCTAAAATACATTTGCAATTAGATAAATCTGGTGGTATTTTAAGTAAGAACAAATGTTTGACTTCCTTATTTTTAAATTATTTGTATTACTTTTTAAAAATGTGGGGTATAATTTTAATAAATCATTAAAATTAAATCAAATATATTTTAAGTACTTTATAAGGATATGAATGTTATTATTGGTTAGGTAGATAAATTTTTAATTTTAATTCTCATCTTTTTCTTTATTGAAAAGAAGTACATTTTCTACAGAAAATAAGGACATAAATAACAAATGTGAGACCATTAAAATTTCTTATTGTTTCATCCACATAGGCCAAAAAGATCTGCATTTAATGTGTATATGTATGTATGTGCTTGATACTTGGTGGCATTTTATTTTAATTCTGAGAAAATTCTTATATTAGAAAGCTTCTAAGTACCACATATCTTCCATCTTTCAAGAAGATACACTTAGGATATTTATATATTCTTATTCTCTTACTACTGATTCTGTAGTTTACAGTAATTTTGATAAATTTCTTCGAAGAAGGTGAGAGAATCAATAACAATACCTAATAAAAAGGTCAGTACTTAATAAGCACTCAAAGAATGCTGTTAGTGAACATGATATTTAGCTATACACAAGGGCAGTTTGAGCTCAGTGGAAAAATGAAAAATCAGCATTAAAACACAAAAAGAAAGTCTTTTGTGACTATATCTAAGTGAATATCTACCTATGTATCTATATTTGTCCATTATCTATCTATCTCTCATCTATCTATCTACATGCCTATGTATCTATCTGTATTTATCTCCATGTATATTTACAAAACAAGGTTGTTCTATAGACTTAGGGAGAAAGGAAACCATTAGCTCAAATTAAAGTGGCTCTTTTAATAATGTTAGCTGTCACAGTTAGTAACCTTTACATTTGTTAGTCAGTTTCCACTAGCATATTCTGACTCTGGAAAAAATTCCAACCACTGATTTGAAACAGCAAGAAAGGTCACCATGATTGTTACTCAGATCACTAGGTTTGTAGAGCACAAGTGGTTAACAACATTATACATTTGAAAGAAAATTATTTCATATTATTTTCTTACTTGTTATTACCAAATTGAAAGTTGAGACAAGGTGAATAGGTATGGCTAGGAGAATTAAATGGTAAACTACTTAAGTGGTGAAAACAAATACCCTATGATCTCACATATAAATGGAACCTAATTAGCAAAACAAAGCAAGCAAAACATAACCAGAGACAATGAAATGAAGAACTGACAGTAACCAGAGGGGAGGGGGAGAGGGATAATGGGGAAATATGGGGAAGTGTTGTCAAGGAACATGTGTAAAGGAGTCCCGGACAAAGCCAAAGGAGGGGTAGGATCGAGTATGGAGGGTGGGGGGTGGGGAAGAGTAGTGGGAGGAAGATGGGGACAACTGTAGCTGAACAACAATTAAAAAAAATAAAATAGGGAAAATGAATAAAAATAAATAAAAATTTGAAGCAGGTCATTAAATGAGAGAGTGCCTAATCTCCTTAACTCACACCCCATCTCTATGCATCTATATAGTTAGTTAATTAGACAGAATACACATGAGAAAGCATAATAATAAAGTTGACATTACAATAGTTTAGACACTACTTGAAAAACAAAAGCTACAAAAATTTAAAGATGAGCTAGAGGGTATGGAGGGAAAAAGACTGATGTTGAGATTGGGATTCATATCATTATATTCCTGAATTTATAGTAAACCTATCTATATCCTACTATGACATTATTCATTGAAATTCTCTTCTGGATATAAACAGCATACTTGGAAAATGCAATTTAAAGCTAACCAGATAAAAAATGATCCTTTAAATGACTTTCCCTTAGGCTATAAATTGACTTGGGAGCCATTCTATGTACCCAAACTCCAAGTTTAGACAAACATTTTTCAGATTCTTCTCACTTTGTCTCTTCCAGGGTCTAATAAAAGTCACTTTCATGGCATTTACTAATCAGTAATTCAGAACATGGTTTTTACTAGGTGGTTTCTAGAGCCTGCTGCTGACATTATCAGATGGTTATGAGGTTGTAATCCTGCACCTTGACTGATTGGTTATTGTATTTTGGTAAAGCTACTTAAGTTTCTAAAAACAGATATAATCTTGTCAGAATTAAAATGATAATTTGTGTAAATTGCTCGTATAGTCTTACACCTGTTATTGGTCACATTACTCCCTATTCAAAATCCTCCTGTGGCTCCTCAGTGTCTTCATAACCCAATTTTCCCTAATGTGGCTGGAAGAGCATGTTGATTTGGCCTCCTATAACTCTCCACCTTTAGCTCCCACATTTTACCTTCCATATCTCCTCCCTGTAACCACACCAGATTATTAATTTTTCATGCTGTCTCAGGCATGAGTGCTTTTGCTATTCCTTCACTACTCCCCTTTCAAGAATGAGCCCTGATTTCTCATCTTCCAGAAACTGTTTGTGCTGAACCACGGCCTCTTCTTTACGCTGTCACAGCTCCTTTTACATATCTTTATGGTAGTACACATCATTCTATATTGCATTTTTAACTCAAATTTTCATTTTCCTTCCACAAATATGGGCCATAAATTATGTAGAGGTAATAGCTCTTATTATTGTTGTTATCCCTAGAACCTCAGTCAAGTATGGCATGTATTAAGAGTCCTCTAAATTTTCTGCTAAATGAATAAATATTATGCTGGGTCATTGGCGAATATGGGACTTTTCTGCTAAGGAATTTCAAAATATCTTTTTTATATATAACATCTGAGCATAGTTGAAACTTAGAGTTAAAACCAAATCAAATTTTTCGTATTTAGATCAGAACTTATTATTTTCTTATTAGACTAGATTACCTTGTCCAGAAGTCTCAGACGAACACAAATGACTTACCTAGATTTAGCCCTACGAGTGTCCCTGAGAATGCATTTCTAAAATAATACTCAAAATGCCATACCTTGAAGAAAGTGGGTGAATTTCTATATATGTGAAATAAAGGAAGAGAGCTGAGGTACAGGGATGCAACGAGTAAACAGACCCTTAGAACAATGATGTGACTTCCCCCTGGAGCAGACTCCCCTGCTTCCTTGCCTTTGCACCTAGCCCAAGTCTCAACAAAGAATTTCTTATGGATCAATATTGTTCATCCGCACGAAAATAACAAAACATCTGTTCTATCACTTTGAGGAAGTGACAAACTAGACAAAAAGTGTGGCCTACTTAGTGGTTTTATCATTAGCCTTATTAATAATTCAAGGGAAAAGACTTGGCAAGACAACAGAGCAGCTCAGAGAACAGAAAACAGCCCTCGAATTCTAGCTTAGCTTCTCACCAGCTGCACGAATCTACACAAAGGGCTCAACTTCTCTAGGTTTTTGTTTTCTCACGAGTAAAATTAGGAAAGTAATACTTGTCTCACTGAATGATGAAAGGCTTAAATGAGATAATACATGTAAATACTTCATATCATTTTTGGTATTTATTAGAAGCTCAATAAATGGTGGCTATTACTGCCATTATTCATAAAAGTTTTATAATAAATTTTCTATTCTTGAATTCTTATAGAATCATAGGTATTTTATCAATGATGGAAATATGATTTTATTATGATTAGATATTTAGACATTTTCTAATCAGGAACATTGCAAGAGCCACCCATATTATCCTTACAATGAGAGCAGTAATATGAATCAGAAAGCTAAAAAAATAATTCAATGGTAGAGCTGGGTTTAGAATGAATAAGACATTTCAAGGCTGTAATTACATGATGTTGAAATACCTCACTCCCTTCATCTCCCATTCTGGTTTTCAATGTGTTGAAGCTATGAAATTAATTTGAGTTACTAATTAATTTTAATTTCTAATTAATTTGAGTAAGCTTGTACACCTATATTTAAACTTATAATATGCATTTCAGTGGAATCTGTCTCCTGACCATTGTTTTTATTGATGAAACTGAGATAATAAGCCAGAGCTGCATAATTTTGAACTAACTGCTAAAGTCATTTGCTCATGGCTTTATTCTCTTCCAGTTTTCATTAGTATCATACTATGATGCCAGCAGTGGTGAACAATTATGCTAGCACCACCCACTGAGACTCTGTGTTATAATGTAAATGATGAATTCTGCATAAGAGACATATTTGGGCCATATTACAATTGTGGTAATGCAAGGCATTTCATGGAAATACTTAATGATAACACTAAATTATTAACTACTATGACTGTATGAATGGAACCCTGTTTGATAAGATTACTAAAAATTTGGGACATTAGATTTGTAACTATTGGAATGGCACTAAATTAACACCTTGCTTTGTGTCCTTGTGTGAAAACTTACTTTCATCTCCTGTTTCAAATTCAAACTTCTGACTGTAGCCACTGTATCCTGTTGTAGTCCTCACTCGGATATGAAATATGTACTTGGTGGCTGGCTTGAGACCTGTGATGATGACACTGGGGGCCTTGGACCTTGTGGAGGAATAGGTGAGCTGCTCATGTTCCTGGGGACAGAAAGGAAGAAAATGGAAACGAAGCAGAGTTATTCTACTTTTTCCTACAGACTTTCCAAACTTAAGCTGAGAAATTATGCCCATAATATCAAAAGTATAGATTAAAAGGAGATATAAGCAAGGTTTTTCATAATTTATCATTTAGTTATTTTATCATTAGGGTGCAAATGATAATGGTCTTGATTTGGAAATTGAAGGTGGTTAATCTTGTATGAACTGCATTGTATTTTTGGTGATTTGGATTTTTGATCCCGCTCTGAGTAATGGTGTTGGTGTAAGAGCATGTTTGCACAGAATGGTGGCTGCATCTTGAGTAAAATGCACACATCAGATCAGACCACACCAGCAGGGAGCAAGGAGCAAAGGCGGGAAAGTGGAAGTACCAGCTACTCACTCCTACCCGCGGGTAGTGCCAAAATGCCTGTGCTATCCATGGGTAGACTTGTGGGTGAAAGGAACAATAAATTAATTGGTTTTTAAAGTTGGAAATCTTATCCTGGATTAATTGCTTGGTTCAGGAACTCAGTGATTTTCCAGTAGTAACAACTCAAGTTTAGTCAAGTGAAAACATCTAATGATAAAAATTTGAGAGAGAATTGATCCTGTCTCAGATAACACAGTTTATTCTTAAAGATGTACAAGTTACGCAGTGATTGTGAGGTAGATTTAAAAATAGTGTGCTCACGAAGGAGCATCAAAGACTTACCATACATACCTTTGGAATCAGACCGAGAACTGGAGGTTGGGCTCCCAGTCGCCTACAGTTAACTGCCAAAGGATCTCTCCTCACTAACAAAAAGTGCATTTGCTGCAGCTACCTGAATGACTTAGTCTGTCAAGGTTTTTTAAGTGGGCTACCACCTCAGAACAGGGTGTTGTATTTTACTCGTGCATATGAGTGACTGTAAACACGCTGGTGGTGGGGCAAATTAGATTTAACATTTTTTTTTGGTAAAGTCTTATTGTTCAGTAACTTTATGATGATATTTTAATAGGGTCTCTGAAAAAAATTGTATTTGTGTGAACAACTTTTCTAAATTCATAGGCCAAATTAGGCCATACAGTCCTTAGGTTAATTATCCACTATTTTTAAATGACAAATCTAGTGGTAGAGATGCAGTGATGGAAGTGACTTGCAAGGTTATTAAATGAATCATTCATTTAATGCTTAAATTCTACCTATAATATTCCCATCAAGATTTAGCCTTTGCTAAAGGCTAGCCTTGCAAGATTTGCTAAATCTTGTTCAGGAGATCTTCCACACTAGCAAATGAAATTATAAAAGCCTACACATATGTAGAATGTATCAAACTGAATTTATTACCTTATGATGCTTTAAGATTTAGAGCTATGAAAGTTATTTCCCTTAAGCTATTGTTGAAAAAAATTCTTATCTTAAAGATCATTTTAAAACTTGATGGCCTTATTTGTCAGAATTTTATATGCTACATGGTTATTGTGTTTCTAGCTAAGAAATTGAATTTGCATCTATAAATCCAATAGTAGAATTATTTATTAAACAGGAATATTAAGCTCATATTAAAGAAAATATGAGTTTATAACAGCAAATGTTATTATTATTATAAATGCTAAACCTATTTTTTTCTTATTTACTTTAGAATTTTTGTTTATTTTTATTTATGCTGTTACAGTTCCCACTTTTTCTCCCTTTCCCCACGTCCAGTCAGCCCAGCTGTCTCCCCTCCCAACACTGATCCCCTCTCCCAACATCGACCCAACACTGTGTCCCTGAGTTGTGCGCAAATTTTCTTTGGTGAATACCTTCACCACCTTTTATCCCGTTTTGTGTACCCACCCCCCTCTCCACCCCCTGCCTCACTCCACACTGGCTGCTGCCAGTTTGTTTCATGGATCTAAGCTTCAGTTTCTATTTTGAATAACAGCACATTTTAAATAAAGAAGACAAAACAGACAAACTTCAACTTATATTTATCTCTAGGTAGTTTTGAGATTAGAAAGTAAATAAATATCCACCTAGCACAAAGTCCAAGGAAATAAAATCTATAAAAATGCAATGGCAAGAATCATCTAATAGATGTTGCTCTCTAGCATCAAGGCCTTTATAGTTAGGGGTTGACACCCACATTGTGAGGGAAAATGTCCACTAGTTGAAGGGATGATATTGTTTCTGGTAGAAATTTACAAAACCTTTTGGATTCTTCAGTCTCACACACAAAACAAGAATATTCCACCTTTCACAGAATTTCCTGTAACATAAGAGTTTGGTGTATTCTAAGTGCTGTTTCACAATATGAAATGGTGATTGAGAGAAGAATTTCAGAGCCTTGCAAAAACAATTCAGTTTTACCCTCAAAGAGAGGAGATACAGATTCAAAAATTTACTTTTAGAATGGTCCCATAATAATGATCTATTGTGCCTTTTTGCTTGACCAAAACATAGCTGAATAGTAATTTCTTACTCGGTAAAGTTACCGGGAGTAAAGGACAACTTTTGCAAATAGGCTTCTGCGTTTCTGCTGTTAGGCCCAAAAGTGGATCCATAGCTGCATCCTCGGAATGAAAATCCTCAAGTGGAAGTGTGCCCACCTGGTTCCTGAGCTAAATCACAGTAGTGTCGTGGCCCTGTCTTACCTTGCCACCTCTGAGCGTGCTGAGGAGGAGGAGCAGACAGCGTAGCAGCCCTCTGTTCTCCTGGTGTGTCCAGGCTCTTGGGAAACCAAATTAACACCGATCCATGATAAGCCTAAGCACTCTTGTCCCAGAATTTTGGCTAATTGCTTTGCTGATGATACATCAACTCTAGTTCAATGTAGCTGTCACCAGATAGAGAACATGCTTTGCTGCAGAGCCACCTAGATCTCTTTATTCCTCTGGCGGGCTGAATTCTGAACATGCTTGAATAGGATGTGCAAGTCTTTCTGGAGCTTGTGTTATAATTGAATAGTACTTACATCTTCAACTTTGCTGGGTAATACATTCTACTGTTTATGAAACTATCTCATATGTTTTTCATTTCTGCTGAATCCATAGTAAAATTCTCTTCTCATTCTCAATATTACTTCTTTTATATTTTTTCCTTACAAAGATTTTCAGAAATTTGGATCAATTTTTGGCTTTGTTTATCTCTCTAATTTTTATTTGTTTTCTACTACATTTATTTATTTATAAAGATTTCATTTATTTTTAGAGAGAGGGCAAAGGAGGGAGAAAGAGAGGGAGAGAAACATCAATTTGTGGTTGCCTCTTGCACACCCCCTACTGGGGACCTGGCCTGCAACCCAGACATGTTCCCTGACTGGGAATCCAACCAGGGACCCTTTGGTTCCCAGGCCCAGGCTCAATCCACTGAGCCACACCAGCCAGGGCATCTACTACTTTTAGTATCTGCCCTTACTATAAGTTATTTTATTTCTTCTTTTTACTCTGTTTTTTGTTAATTGTGTTGTCTTCTAACTTCTTGTGTTTCATGCCTACCTCATACATTTTTAGTACAGTGGACTCTTGAACAACATGAATTTGAATTGTGCAGGTCCACTTATGCTCCCTTTTTCTTTCAATAAGTATACAGTGGGCTCTTATATTGTTTTTTGCATCCATTGATTCAACCAACTGTGGATGGAACACAGTATTTTCCACCTGTAGTTGGGAACCCTTGGAGTCAGAGGGCCTACAGAATGTATTGTTTTATAGCATTTTGTATAAGTGACTTGAGCAATGGTGGGTTTTGGTATCCATGGGGTCCTGGAACCAATCCCCAGTAGATACCAAGGAACAACTATAGTTAAGTTTTAGGACAGTCAAAATATACACACAAAATATACATATGAATGTTCTTTTGTCCAAGAGTCAGTACTTCAAACCCCATATTATTCAAGGGTCAACTGTATATTTTTTCAAATGTATAATTTAAGTCTACAAATTTTGAAATACTGTACTATTTATTGATCTACAAGTTCTTATATTATCAATAATTTCTAAGAATTTATTAATTTATAAAAATCTATGGTTTTTAAATATTTTATGGCAGGTCTAGGATTATTATTTGTACAGGTTTATGGGTCAAGACAGGTGTCAGGCAGTAAATAAGTGGCATACAGTGAAGCTCCAAAGCCATAACCTTATGGGGTAGGGTAGAGTCCTACCCCATAACCCTATGGTGTGCAAAACACACTAGACTGGGTAGAACAGTGGGTGCTCATTGCTGAGAGCACTGATGATCTGCATTAATGCTTGTTGGCTGAAAGTGAAACAGCTTATATTATATCTCCTTAGATAAATGCAGATAATAGTGCTAACTGTGAGAGAAACATTTAGTAACAACATATTTTATTGTTATGTATATTATTTTCTAAAATAAATATATATACAGTTCCTATTTTTTATATTTGTATCCACTTATTTTAAAAAATAGTTCATAACCAAACAGCCTGAACATAGGGCATTGTCAAACAGAGACACACGTATCATTGCCTAGAGGTGTTTACTTTTTCTTTCGGTTCTTTTCCTGTGGGCAGATCCTTCAGCTTAATTTCATTGCTCCTTCCCAGTGACAAAAATCAAGGCTTTTCTGGGAGTCTAATCTTGCTGTCACATTGACCCTTTTGTTTACCTAAAATTCTGAATCTAACGATTGCTTTATCTCTAAAAGTGTCAACTCTTCATAGTAACTAAAAGAGATGCTGTTACTACAATTTGAAACTCTAACTTAATGAAAGGAAAGGCTCCGGTGCCCAGTCATTATGGCTGTTTTTTTCTGCAATGAGAGGCGATGTGGCAATATCAAAAGAGAGCAGGATGGAGAGAATTCTCATTTCGAATTCTCCTGTCTTGCTCTTCATCTTGGTTCTGGTTCTACTATGTACCTTGCTAAGTCACCTTGAAGACTTTTATTTACTCATATATAAAATTCATTTATTCCACCCACATTCGTTGAATGTTTACTATGTGTAAGATTCTAGGGCACTCCAGTAGATTTAGCTTACATAACCACCAAAGTTCTACCTAAGCAA